TAAATATCCGAAAAAAATTCATTACATGGAAGGAATTTTTTCTTTGAAATTTCGATCTCCCTTCCCAGGCAACTGAATGTCTCTTATCGGTTGACTTCTGCTTCCTTTAACCTTCTATGGACAACTTGAAAGTACTTAGAAAGCATAATGTCAATGAGACACTTATCGTTATTAAAGCGTCTAGACTTACCATCTAGACTACCTTGCAAAGAAAGAAGAGCCTTGAAATTTATATCTTTGGTGTAAATAAATTATAATAATAACAATAGCAGGTACTTTTTGAAAGTCTCTTTTTTCCTCGAGTTCTTCTTTTATGACGAATACATAGGTTATAATTGGCCCATCCATCGTTGTCGGATTTTCTCATCAAATTTTGTCATTATGACTAAGTATTTACCATAGCAATGCACTTTAGAGAATGTGTTTGTCATTTTGTCAAATCATTTTGTTACGACCTAATTTCAAATTACACGCACTCTGTCTGTCTTTGACGTGTAGCCGAGCATATCGCTAGAGAGGTCGACCCAGTTAACTGATTAAAAGCATCTCCAAACAAACGTATGCTAGCATGGCATCATAGAAATACCCATTGGATAGATGTGCAGCAGTAAGAACAGTTCAAAGAACTTGTGATTAGCTTTTTGGTATTGATTATGAATTCGATCAAAGAATTCAAGATTTGGTTGACGTTTTCGTTATAATTTCGTTTCACGTAATGTGTAAAACGTGTTGTCCTGCCTTTGACAGATGCAGCGAAATGAGCACGAGCACTTTTAAAATAGGGAATGACGTGAACATAAAAGGGTATTCTAATGTTGCTAGGGGTTGTTGAGTTGAGAATTGAAAAAAATACTAGAAAAAAATTATTTTAATAAGAAACATTTTTCCAACACATTTCAATAGTTTAAGTGTGCAATTCATTCGATTTCTTCACAATGTCTTTAAAATAGCATTTTAAGTTAAGTTAAGCAATTTTTATTGCTTACATAACAAAGGCTTACATTTTTGTATTTAAAAATTGAACCTTTGGGATCGAAAGCCGATCAATCGTACAAAAATCAATATTTCTAAAAGCGCCCTCTACTTCTCCACCTGTACGCATGTATTTTATATCAAATTTCCACTAAAAAATGTACGGAGCGCGGAATCTCTTCAGTTGGAGATGCCTTACAAGAATGGTTCTGCTGCTTTGCCATTTTTTAATATTTTTCAAAAGTGAATTTTTTTTTTTTTTTGTTTATATATATCTATCTATGAACCATTTTCTTTGAAAGGGTTATAAATACACTTTCTGGAAAGACTTAATACTTGGTTCAGAAGGCATACTGTATAAAGTACGAAATGACACATCACTGAACAAGTCTCTTGTCTGAGACATGCATGGCATCATTTATATGATTTCTGGATAATACCAACCTTCAAACAATACGTGCCGAAATTTCATGACATTCTGACAATTAGTTTACTACCTACAGTCATTTAAGCGACGTTAGCTTTGTAATTTTCAAACCAATGGAACAAACTGGATTCCATGTTTTAATTAAAAAGAAACGTTTCTTTTGGGTGAGAAAAAAAAAAAAACAAATGCATTCATAATCAACGTCGGCTTGCAAAGCATTATGGCGACGCTTGTCTGTTGAAAAAATTATTTTGTAGGTGGTTTGCTAATTGTAAGCACAGTCGTATAGACACCGATGACGCTGAACGCTTTCGTCGCCAGAATTTGGCAATTGTTCCAGAAAACAAAAAAAAAAAAAAGCGCCAGCTCTGTTTTGAAACAGAGTTGGCTGCCAGAAAACAGTGAACATTGGCTCATGCTTTGTTCTGTTTTGACAACAACCTGTGATCAGTCAGAGTCAGAGTCTTGTTTGGCGGTGTTTAAGCAAAATAATAAATATTTTTTCATACGATATTTTGCATTGGATAAAACATAGGCTCATCACTGCACTGCAGAGCCAAATCGGCAGTCAGCCGAGTGGAGAGCAATCGAAGAAAGTCGTCCAAAGAGGTTAAAAGAGCGGTGTATGTAAGGAAACTGTAGCTTGTAGACACCTACTGTTTGAAGGTTGATATAATCCGAAAATTTTATATACCTGCAAACAGTATTGTCATATCTCTCTCAAGCCGAAGACTAATTAAGTGATGTAATCTAATACTAGAACTTTTAGGTGACGATCGCACCCAAGAAACCCCATATTTAATATTGGAATAATTTGAAAGTGGTATAGACTCATTTGAGATGATCAAATGCATAAATACGCATTACATATATCAATATTTTTCAAATATTATTCAAATACAAATCTTCCAGTATGTCCATGTAACATACAATGAACTCATACCACTTGCAAAGAAAACGTATTCTATCCTTAACAACCATCTCGAATACTATTATTTCACTATGTTTTCTTCGATTAACAAAAAAAAAAAAAATATCAAAACTAGGCTTTTAAACTTTAAACAAACTTGTTACCTCTTAACATATTAACAGAAACAAGACCTAGTTCAGAAAATTCCTATCCTGAAAGTTGTTTAGGGCTCATCTCAGATATAAATAAAAATTCGATTTGTTATTGAAAGTTTCCATTTTAATTACATCTTGTGAGAATGAAATTTTGCAGAACGGAGAACATGTAAGCTGGTAAATAAGATTATAATGCGGATGAAATTGACGAAGTCCGGAAGATTTTCTATTTTTCTCTCTTATACTCAAACTGAGATCATATGTCTTCTTAAATGAAATATTAATGAATTTCTTAAATGATTTTTAGCTGCATAAACAAATTGAAATTTTAATCTATATGTTCCCAAAGAGCTCATAAGTTCGGATAAATTTCTTCTTCAGGGTAAGACATTAAATATTTTCAATGATTTCTAGAACGTTTCGCCTTCTAGCTTAAGGTGATTTTTCGAAACTTGTTTCATCAAATTTCTCCGCTAAATAGTAACATGCGAACTTTTATCTCAACGATAAATTATTTAGCGCATGATGTTTAATTTGGGTAAATAAAAGTATAAAAGTAAAACGCGTGGTAAACATTTAACGAAATATTTTTCTATGTAAGAAATTTGCTACTTCTACACTTCATTATGGCATTACATACAAAAAAATTCGTGCTTTCTAAGATGGCAAACACCCACAAATATATTTTCAAATATATTGCAAACTATGTGAGTGTATGCAAAAGCATCGATTCTCACAGAGGCTGGAAGGATTGCAACATGAAATGCTTGATTGATTTTCCTACGCCGGATCTGTCTTTTGATTTATAAAATATGCAAAATATTTTGGATGTTTAAGGACGTTTTTACCATCTCTTGTTGTTCACTTCAAATGAATGAAATGCCATTTGTCGACTGTTTCGGGTATTTCTTAGGCTCAGAGGCTTCTCTGATGACTCTTCCGTGGTTATGCGGAACGGCGAGTCGGCATTAGGTGTATTTAAGCATGAAATATTAAACTTGCTTCTATCTTACCTTCAACTAAATCCTGCCAAAATTTATGAACTTCAGCTAGAACATCAGTGGTGAAGGCAGCAGCATTGTCGGCATCGCCATTAAAATCAAACTGATTTTCTCGCTTACCATCCGGGTATGTTAAATATTTTAAACCGGGTATTTTTTATATTTCAACAATAGCACGCAACAAGATCGGAAAAAATGCATCAACATCTTCAAGATCGTTCAGTATTTCAGCCAGCGGATCGTTGACATCAATTGCAATAATTTTCCAATCGGTTTCACCTTCGTCAGGCAATTAGAGAAACTGTGCCCAACATTTTTATTTGTATAACTTCTCCACGTTTAGCAATACAATATCCAATTTCGAGATCATTGTCACCTTGGCGACAAGCCAAGCGAGTTCTATGTGATCAGGTTTCTCCCAGTTTTGTGGAAAGACACCATAATTCCACATGTAACCCTTATGAGAAAAACATTTTTGCTACAAAACGTCATTTGTCTTCTTTTATACCCTGCCTAATGAGATTCGTAGGAGTCTGCATGTTGAACTCCATTTTGGCATTTGTACCATATCATCATATTACATATGTTTTCCTCCTTATTGGCAAACAACGGTATATCGTGCAATAATGAGAATCATTTGCCATAAGCAGATCGGAAATAAATGCTATAAGTAGTAGAAGTAGTAAACAATTTTTTTTTTGGAATTTATTTTAGTTATTGTGGTCTTTTTTGTAGATGGATCATATCTATTTTATAGAATGATTCACAGTCCTGTGGGCCAAGCCAAGCATAGGCAACAAGCGAAGAGCCAAAACAATCTAAACTAACGTTGATCAAATGTCTCAAGATAAATCTGCCGTGTGTAGCCAATTAGGGTAACAAAAGCATTGAAAATCTTAATATTACTACACATGCCGTGTTGTTGCAAAAATGCCGTGTGTATGCAAAAATGAGATTAGAATAAAACTGAATTCTTTTCTTTATACATTTCCAAGATTTGATAATTTGTTATATTTTTTCTAAAACCTGCTCTTAATGTATACAACATACCGGTATATATGAAAACCAATATTGGTTTACGGTTTCACAAGGTATTCGCACACGTGTAACATGTATGAGTTTCAATTATGTAACACGAAATCTAATAAAATATTGTAATAATTGGCAAAACAATTGCAAAGTTTTTCTGCTGATGCTTGGAAAGCGTCTAGTGATAGTAGGGTGATTGAACTTATTGCCAAACCCTCTGACATGTGACAGACTGACTATGTTTACCTTAATCATTTTCCACTTTGTCATCTTTTTTTTTTCCACGATAATCGTATGCCGAGAGATTTTTAAGCTTTTGTTTTATTTTTAAACTTTGTATGGATATAAACCTGGCCTGAGGCAATCACCCGTGTTTTTTTAAAATATAGATAGAAAGTGACAAGAGAAAAAAAATATAAACAAAAATTATATCTTTTTAATATCGCTACATTAAGCACAATTTATGTTAAATTTTTTTTTTCAACTTTTTCTTTTTTTTTTTTCAGCAGAGTTTTTTCGGCATGAACCTGTGAGAAAATCGCAAACTCTTGTATCGCTGCATTTTATAATTAAGCATGCGCCTCTTTAAAACGCGCAAATCTATTGACACTTTTACTACAACACCAACCAACACGCAACAAGCTATCCCGATACCGATACCAAGTCAAAGCTATTATCAACAATCTTCGCAGTTACAAAGTCATCATCATTTTCAGTCGACAACGGCATTAACAACATGTACTACAGCCAAATTTACAATAAATGGTTCATCGTCAACCATTTCCAGTTCTTTACCCGATTTGCATGATAATTCGCCCGTTATGATTTTAAGTTGTACAAATTTGAGTACAAGCGGTCTACAGCCGACTCGTTCCGCTACAAATAACGTGAATTCTTCAAATAGCACACCTTTAAACGGTAGTAGTGCGCGTTCATCACCGCCCCAGCATTGCAGCGGTAACCTAACCCCGACATATTCGCATCAATATGAACGTCACTTTCAAAACCATTCCGGTAATAGCGGTCGCCAAACGCCGTCATCGTTTTCGGTAGCATCGCTTAATGGCGCCGTACTCCAGAGACCTGCTAGCGTACATTTATTTAATCATATATCGAATTCATTGCTTGCGAACTATGGCGGCAGTAGCAGTAATATTCCATCTATGACCGGTCATTACACTCACGGACAATATCAAAAATTTAACGGATCCACACAACAAGTTTTAAATAATCGTCAAACGGGTGGTTTACTAAGTCAACATCATCGCAACACTTCATCATCCAGCAATTGTATATATGAAAAGCATCAATCTGGAACAGGCAACGGCAATTATTGTAAAATTAATAATCTAATGGTGACTGCCAATAGTACACCGATGACTTTAATGAATTCGAACGGTAAGTTTGCTGAAGAACTTTAATTATTTTTAACCGGCAATGTGTAATAGCTGTGTGCTGTGTGTAATGTGTAAGAATCGGGAAAGTTTTTTATATCTTTTTTTTTTTATATAGTCATGTATTCTACGGCAAGTCAGTGTTCGCGTGGTGCGGTAGAATTTACTTTGGCCGTACTTGTAGTGAGTGCTCACTCGGCAAAGGCATAACATTAACTCTTTAACTTGTGATTATATGACTTTTTGATGATTAGAAAAATTTAGAAAATCCAAGTAATATGGCTTTTGTTTATTGCTTAATTACCATAACTAACGTACTCAACCGCTTTATTCAAATTTTTAATAAATTATTTTTGAATACCTTTCACGACTCGTTCTTCCTTTTTTAACTTTATTTATAACTTGTTCCTTCCTTGAATAGACAAACCTTTTTAATGCCTATTGTTTGGTTTTATTAAGTCATTTTGAGGCACTTGCTTTTATAGTAAAATACTGAAAAAGCCAAAATACATTGCCTTGTGATAGAATACATTTTTTGGATAAAGGAAAGACGTGTCGACCAAGTTAACAAGTACTGCAAACCAAATGCTATGCATTCAAATCAACTTTGTTTTATATCTTAACAAGTTAACAAGATTGCTATAGTCGGGTAAGGACGTCTCTATCCAACACCTTATTCATTTTCTTAATAATACATCAAGTATTAAGCCTTCATTTTGTAGGATACTAACTTTATTTACTTGTCAAAGATTTTATTATTTTCCAGTTGCTTGCGTGATGAAAAACCAAGGATTAGGTTTTGCGCCATAACAGGATTTGCTTTCATAAAAAGCCTGATATATGGTTCTATCTAAAAAGTAAATCTATGTAATACACACTCCCTACGGTTGATTTACTAAGAACAAGTTTTTATCATAAAATATAAATAACTAGACCTTTTTCGAACAAAAAGTTTTACTTTTCTTTAGTACCTTTATATGGGTTGGGATCCTACAAATAGACGTATATGGTTCAAATTCGGTAAGATTCGTTTTTACATCAATTTGTTTTCATAAAGGAATTTTCATCAGGAAATATCGAAAATGAGGCGCTCTTATACACACACACACACGCAGGTTCAGTCCCAGTAGGAACGCTTATAAATCCAAAAAAAATTACCCCATCCGAACCAAGTTTAGATTGATAAAATATTACTAAGCGATTTTTGCCGCGATATTCTCTAAAATTACACAAATTTTTCATATAATGACTTCTCAAAGAAGGGGAATGATCGAAAAAGTGGCCCGATGGTTCGTTCAAGGGCCAAAACGCGTCGTAAATAGCGATCTATAGTTCGAACACACGAATACATTCATCGGCATCAAACGGACAGAAGTACGGATAAGCTTAGAACGACTCCTCATCATTTTCTGGATCGATCTATACAATAAATGTACCACAAGTGGTGTAGGGTACACAAATTTTCACAAAAAAGCGAAAGTAATGAATAAGTAATAACAAGTAAGAAAATTATATTCGGTGACCGCATCTGTTATACCCATAGCCGTTATCGTAAAAAAGACCAAAAAAGGGAAAAGAACTGTATTTTCGTATTCTACAATGTTAGATGGACGCGGATGATCTTTTCTATTTTCAGGATAAAAGTGGATAGGGTGCACGTGTTGTACTTTATGAATAACAAACGAAACATACGGAAAACAAAATTGTTCACAATTTTTATTACATAATCGTGCGGGCGTAGTAGGCGTGGCCTTTGTACGGTTTACATCATTTTCAAATTCTTTTGCAAATTTCTGGACGATACCATCAATTTTGCGAAAAAGAGAATGTTGACCACGGATGGTAGGCAGTTGAGTAGACGGACAGACGGATAGACGAACAGAAAAACGTGTTTATGAGCAATGATCAGAGCAATAATTTTTTTATTGCTCCTAAAAATCAGAGGTGTTCTCAGTTTACGTAAATCCTTCAATACGAACATGCGTGAGAGTACTTAAATGTTTCTGCCAAATTTGACGTCGGTGGCTTCTTTTTTGCGGCCAGAAGCATGTTTGTCACAGACATTACACAGATAGACAGAGGGACATGCTTAAATTGATTTAGAAGTTATACTGACCAAGAATATATATACTTTATGGAGTCTTTGAAATTGCATCCTGGGCGTTGCGAACGTCTTGACAAAATGAGTATACCTCCCATCCTTCGGTGATGAATGTAAAAAGCAACAGGATAACATAAATAACATAAACATATGGAAGTTGTGACTTTTTTGATTAGTTCTGGAGTTGTTAGCGGAGCGATTGGAATTCGTTATGCGCAAAATACTTACTCGGAGGGATGATAACACGTTTCAAAGCACGTTAGATTAACACAGTATACATTGATCAGAATTAATAGCGATTACGGAGAAGAACATCGATCAGAAACCACCGCAAAATTCACTTATAACAGTATTAACAAGCGAGAAAATCGATCAGAAGAATCTGCCAAGTTTAAAGTAAACAATTTACAGTATTTCTAAACTTAAAACACTAACAACCGAACATAACTCCAACTCTATGCGCACAAAAAAAACTTACTAGAAAATGAAATTTGGACCCGTGAACACCGACTTGCCAATGGCCAGCTATGCATCCGTTCAGCTATGCGGTGGCCTACTTTTCTTTCAGCTTTTTTGGTTCTTAGAAACAAAAAAAAAGTACCCGATCGTATACGTTTTTTTCTGAATTTCGCAAACTTTTTAAAAATTTTATTCTATTAAAAATTAAATATATTTTTTTTATTAGAAATATTTAAGTCATCACCAACATCCTTCCCCCTAGCACACAATGATCACAATATCCTCTAGACTCTGGGACACTTCTTATCTTATTAGTAAGGGAAAATTGTTACGAACGTTCATGGACCAGAGTTTTTTGGCAATAAGTGCAATACTACTTTTATTAATATGATATAGTCCCTGACAAATGATCGGCTGAAAATTCAAAAGCAATTACAGAGAAGATATCATGGGTTTTACCTAAAAGTAGGCCAATGAAACAACCTCATGATATCGTTAGTGTCTTATTAATAACTTGCGAACAAAAAATGTGTTGCAAACGGCAGGCTTCCTAAGTTGAAAGCAATATAGGGCCTTTCATAAAAAGTTGTCGCTTAAAAGGAGACCGTGATAAAACTAATGTGTGGCGAGTGATCGTGCTCCGCAACGCACCCATTCGCTGTAACGGTCGATAGCACCAGTGTTTGTACGGCTCTCAATCCACTCTCAACCCAAGAAGAACACCTAACTTGTCACCAGTTACGGTTGGAGAGATTGTCAGGCTATTTCACTTGTGACCTCTTAGCTCCTGGTGCTGCAAAGATTGCTAGTTTGTTACGATATGCTGATCATCCCATAAAAGGCAAATAAAAAGTCTACATTTGATTATTGTAACAAAAACCCAGAAATAAAATAATTATGACAATGTTGTCTCTATTCATATATCCAGACTGATGAAAACAATTTTGTTTTCTAAAGCAATCATTACCTTGGTTATGCATTTTCAGCAACCAATCAGGGTTCATAGTTTTTACTTGACTCGCGATACCCGTTGGATGTTGGCGCATTTTTTATTGAAGGACCCTGTAAATGTTCAACCAAAAAGCAAAACCGTAACAATATATATATTTTTTCATTTATTTACAGTTCAATTACCTGACTATAAATTGGTTACCGCTGTACCAGTTGTGGTTTTAGATGATGAACAGAAATCTTCTACGATACTTGTGTCTGCAAATAGCAACAACACATCCAATACTAATAGTTTGATAACAACGGCAGAAACAGCAGCAACAAGAACTTCGATTATAACTACAACAACTTCAGCACCGACTACAACTACTACCAGTCCCAGCTCAAGCTCAAGAAATGGTATGTACGATTATTATTATGATTTGTTTTGTTTTTCAATTTTTTTTTCGATTTTTTTTTTTTTTTTGGTTTTTATTTGTAAGAAAGAGATTCCAATCATCTATAAGATTATCGAGCTTTTATCAAACAAAAATGAAATCTTTCTTGTTTAATTGATGAATGGGCGGGGTGTTCGTTCTTTCTCTTTGTCTCTACACACACATTGTTAAGTGGTTTAAAAACAAAAAAAAAAAAAAAAAAAACAACCTTATACCAGAATTATTATTATTTATTACATTCTGTATTAAATAACAAATCTCTGTCAGAAAATATTAAAAAGAAAACGAAAGAAAAAAAGCAAAAAGTGAGAAATGAAATAAAGTTATTACCAGTCAGAGAAATCAATGGTTTGTAATACTAGAGGAAAAAAAAAAAAAAAAAAATGCATAGAATAGAATCCATATCAAATTACCCGTAACAAGAGGCTTTATTAAGGAACTAGGAAGTAATCGTAGAGAAACCAAAATGCAAAAAAAAAAAAAAAACGAAAAGCAAAATAAGGTTAAGTTAGCATTAGAAGAAAGAATAAAAAGAAAAATCACTTTTTTTTGTGGTGCGAAAAGAAAGCAGAATCAATTTAGGTTCGTTGGTCACAATCCCACATATCTATGAATAAAATATTTTAAAATTTAAATTTATAAACATTTGAAAATTGTTTTTTTTTTTCAATTTAGGCGACTTCAGTTCGAAGCTTTCAACTGATGTTATGCATATCTTTAACCAATAAATATATATAATATTTGGGTCATGCAAAAAGACTGCACAGTTTTGAGCTTCTTTTTGTAGCCTGTTCTTTTCAAATGATTCCAAATGAACTATAGTGTGGTTGATATTTAATGCCTCTGCTATTCCTGGCAGCTTGCGTGCCGGTCTTTTTCCATCAGATGCAAAATTTCATCGACATTTCGGCCAGAGCGAGGTGTATCTTTGATATCGAAATTTCCGGAGCAGAATCGAGCAAACCATTCCTGGGTCCTACGTTTACTTTAGCATTCTTACCGTACGTTTCTCAAAATTGTTTTTTCTTTTTTGCAGTATTTTTAGCTTTTTTATAGTAAAAAAGCATCACATAGCGAATTTCTTCGGATATTTTACTCATTTTGAAATCAACACAACTTTTTTGAAGAACGAAGAGTTAAAAAAGTATCTTTACAAAAAATGCGATCATGAAAGGGTCACTTTTTGAGCACACTTTGATTCATTTAAGACAATCAAGTGAGTGTCGCTCGATATATATTAGGCATTAGCACCATCCCGCGAAGATTTTTTGCATGACCTAATATTTTTATATTTTGGTTGTCATTCACGATTTTGGCAAAGAGAGTCATATTTTACTAATTGCTTTCCATAACAGGAAGGTTGCACAACATATTAAGAAAAAAGGAAACTTTCTCGTGGCGCTTTTGCTCGCAGATGGCGGCACAATTGCGCAGCTTTGTTCATACGAAATGTACGACGTCAGCCCATACCTAGTTAAACATTTTTGCGAATTTCCAAAGTAATTGCGCTTTGAAGACAAGTTAAAATTTCGAAAACCTTTCAATATTAAAAGCGACCAAGGCTTGCATTTCATCACAGATCATCCTTGTTAGACTACACCTTACCACACAAAACAATTTGAAATCATTTGCATAAGGCTTTATAGAAAAAATAAGCGAATCGGTGCTGAAATGAAATCAAACTTTTTTTTGAAGAGCGATTGCCTCCCACACACAACAACAATGTGCGAAAAAGATCCAAGTTCGAGTTGGATGAAACTGTGAGGCGGTGTTTTGTGCTTAGTGCGATTACAAGAGAAACATGAAGTACAATTTGGTCCAACCTGATCAGATGGTGGATTCCACTTCCCACCATTAACAACTGAACTGCGACTAAAGCAATTGAAATGAAGGTTCCATCAAGCAAAGTGCTTAGTCAAAAACATCTCTAATGACTCGGCTAAAAATGGAACAATCCTGGCTGGAAAGTTTTGATATATTCACTTTATGGTTCGAGCTTTGCACCGTTCAGCTTTCGTATTTGTTTCCCTTTTTATAAAACCCTACTGATAGAGTGTAGTTCACTTGAAAAGTAAAGCTAGCAAAAATCATTTCATTTATTTTTTCGCCTAGAAGACCCAAAAGTTTCACTGTGAATGCATAATGATTTTGAAAAGTTATTAGTCAAAATTTGTTTTAGTAAAATTCACTATTAAAGCTAAGAATTTTAGTACAGAGATGCCACGAACTTTTCTTTTATCCAATATATGAAATGACTTATGTATCTACATACTGTATATGTTAACAAGTAAGAAGGTTATATTGAGCGGCGCCCGAATCTCGCATACCCACCACTAGGCTTTTCGCATTCTACTCTCCAAGTTCTTTTATTTGTTACCCATATCGCTATGGTATTATTAAGACAAAATTAATCACGTTGCCTAATATATTCATTTTAGAATTAATCCATTTTTAGGCATATAATAAAACTTCATTATGAGTATACCCCCATCTTAGCCCCCATCTGGTCGGTATAAAAAGATGTATATATCCATAATGAGTTTATACCTCTTACATTATGTAGGTGAAGAACGTTAGAACATTCGACTCAAATCGTATAAGATTTTCTTTGTTTCTTCTTTGTGGATATTATTATATGATTATTATAATTATTATTATTAGTTATCGTAAATTTTGAAATGTTTAGCTGACACTAATCTCTATCTGCAAGAGCTTTATAAATAAATTCACATTTAATTTTTTGTAATTATAAATGTCTAATAAATTACAAGAAATTCAAATTAACATAGAAATAATAAAAACCTTCGACTGGTTTCTACAGTTCACTTTTTTTCGAATGAATTATCATAAATTGTGTTCTTTTTGAAATGAAATTCCAGATCTGCTTAACGAAATTTGATAAAAAAAAAAAGCAAAAAAAAAAAAAAAAAATAAATAAAAACGTATATACATAAATGTTCTTGTTCGTAGGAAATTATTTGAGAAAATATTGCAAATTATTGAGATAAGTCTTTTTGAACACGTGAAAAAATTCGCACACTTAGCGATAAGTTAAACCATAAAAGTACGCGTTTATGAATATCGACCTTAAAGTTGCGCTGAGTACGTGAGAATTTTTCTTAAATAATTGCAATTGAAAAGAATTTTTGCAAAATAAAATATGAAAAAAGATATTATTTATCTCTGAGACACATCTCGAATAAAGACGAAACCAATCAGTGAGAGAAGATACAAATAATTGAGGTATGATCTGCACAAATGGCCTTGATATGCTTACCTTGATTTATATACATATATATATATATATATATATATAAATATATATTATTGTCTTCGTGTAGGAAGAAAAAACAAAAAAGCAAGACGAAGGGAAAATGATAAAAGTACGACAAAAAAAAAAGAAATTTAAAAATTTTCAATTTATGATGCGAATGAAACGAGCGTGAAAATAACAAACCACAACGGAAACCAAATGTGTAATCGCGAAATGAAAAATCGTTCGAAATTTCGTTTCTCGTCACTATTTTCCTTGAGCCTTGAGTCAAAATAGCCAGTGACTAGTGACTTTGAATCAAAAGCTTAAAGGTATTTAGAATACAACAAATCATATAACTTGAAGATGATTAATTGCAACAATCGTGCTCGAGGTAATTAGTAACCCTGATATGGATAAGTAGACGTTCTTATTTCGTTTCAGTGAATAATTATCCGTAATGGCGTTCGTTATAACTTAATCATCTTTATTTTTAAGTCACTATGAAAGCGAGCAGCTGAGGTTACAATTTGGAACACACACCAGCCACAAAAGGCGTCAAGTTGCCTTGTGTTCTAGAACCAATACACTTACGTAGATTTACGCATATAGCCAATGCGCGCGAAGCTCACATGCACCAATGCGTACTCTAAGCCATAAGCATGAATAAATGAAAAGATGATAGTCGCACAAGATCGGCGGTTAAATACAATACACCACTTCTTTAGTTTTGTCATATACTAAAAATGCCATAAATTATGCTTTGTTTTCATATAAAGCCATACTTTCAAAAACGTGGGCTGACGCCGTTCAAATTTAGCACAATTATTATTCTGACCAAAGGCCTTCCTCTTCATTTATTTTCATCATCAAATACTAAAAAGATGAGCTTCCTACTCTATAAGTTTTTACTTTTAATTGGAACCAGATTTTATCCTAAAATTAGACCTTCTAGCCAGCCTTTTATTTACTTTTAAAAGAGGGGGTCCAAAAATTCCGTCCATACCATCGAAATTTTGCGCATCAGCTTAGTATCAGGAAATAATGCAACTTGGAAAGAGACTTTTCGAAATAAGGCGTCGTATGGGAAGCGGTAATAAAAATTATCCGACTCAACTCATTTTCAACATTGACCTCAATGTACCAAACAGAAGAGGAAATTATATAGGCAGACGCCGAAGAAAGACACGATTCTAGTTCTGCATCAATTCGTATAAAAAAAGTCGCACTATTTTAAGTTCATCTGGGTCTTAAAAAACTTCGTGCGAAAAAGGATGTGGGGTATATACGAACACATCGATCAAATACCTGAAACATAATCTCAAGCGACAAGGGTTATAGTCGTGATCTAGATTGTAAAGGATTGAACGGTTAAAAAATGAATCACACTCGCTAGCCACGCTGAACGCCCCTAAAGAAGCAAGCGTCGATCGATTAACATTTTTTACTATTTTTGAACAAACAACCGTAACACCAAAAACTTCAGATAGCAGAGGACTGAAATGAGTTTTAAAACTCAGGCTCTTGGGAAACAACGAATTTGAGGCTTTTCTTTCAGTCTGCTTCTCATCAGAAACGTTCTTGTAGCAACCAGAATGCTTTGTTGTCTTCTTTATACCACGTGGTGAGCATTCTCAGTTTCTCAATTTTTTTTCCAAAAATATGTAAAAAACTCATCATGGAAAACTCAAGCCATTGAGAAACAAAAT